ACTGTGGGGCACAGCTGCGATAACCTAGCTCTGGGTGTGTGCGAAACCCCCAGGGCTAGGAGATCGCTGCTGCTGCAATCTTTTAGCCCTGGGGGTGTGTGAAACTGGGAGTTCCAGAACTGGGAGACTGGCGGCTTGAATCTCCCAGGCCCCCAGCCCCTGGGGTGTGACACACCCCTGAGGCTGGGAAACCATGGCAGCTGCAATCACCCAGCCCCAGGGGTTTCCTGTACCTCCAGGGCTGCGATATTGTAGCAGCTGCATCTCACAGCCCTGGGGTAGCACTGGGAGCTCCCACAACTGGGTACCCCTCAGCTGAGGGGCTCCCAGCTGCGGAAGCTTGCTTCTTGCCAGTAAAGGGGGGAGGCCCAAATCCCAGGTATGATGGGATCTGATGCACAATCCTACAATCATGCCACCTGTCATGCACGTATGGTATGGCAGGAGGTGCGACTGTGTGGACTGCGCACTAGATTCCATTGTGCCTTTACCTGCACATGTAGAGGGGCCCTTACAGTCAATTATTTCTAAGCAAATAATACATTGGAACTTGGCATGTTGTGATGTTCACAATTTGGACTTTCATTCGTAAATCAAGGTATATTCCTCATCTATTCAGGGAAGCGGCCATTCAGCCACTTCCACATTTATGGGCTCAAGTATTCGTTTTATCATTAGACTTAAAAATCCATGTCACAGATAACAGGACAGATGGATTAAAAAAAAAGCATGGAAATTATAAAAATCAGAAAAAATAAATGCTGCAATATTTATAATTTTTTAACATCGTTAACATGTATTATTACACAAAAGAGATATACAAGAGTCAAAATTAAATTTTATTAAAAAATATTGTTATCAATATTAATGTTATATGCTTAAAAGATCAGAACTGTTAAAAATTGATATGGGTTGCCCTGCCACGAATGAAAATAAGAATTAAGACATGATTACCTCTTTGGATTTTTTTTTTTTTTTTTAATATTTTGAATAGGGTGACAACCTTTGTCAATGCAGCACAACAGAGAGGTTTAAGCTATGGATACTTAAAATTAAAACTTATCTTGATTTTTATTTCTTCCTCAGAAAACTGACATATATTATCAGTTGTGAGTATAATCTTTATTGAAAGCTTTTGTTATAGGACTTTGCAGGTGTAAATAGAGTGATTCAGTATGTGTTCACAAAGTGTTAGCACATTATTTCACAAATATATAACATTGCTGCATATTTCTAAAATGCATTTCATTTTGATGAAACCCAAAGCAATTTAAAAATATTTCTTATGGAGAAATGTGGTAGCTGTTTCACAGTGTAAAGAAAAGTTATAAACACATTTATGATAGAAGGTGATGCAGAACAGTATACATAGGCAGGATAAATCATATAAAGATTAAACTGGAATGCAGCTAGCACTCCCTGCCTCTCGTGGTAAAATGGGTATTGCATCTTTAGGGCTAAGTACAGATAATCCAAAAGCCTGAGGCTGAACTGATTCAGTCTTCACAGGTTAGTCTAACCTGTGTAGATTGAACCAATAAATAAGTGAACAGACATTCAACTTTTAATTCGGGAAATGCAGCCACATGCTTGCAGTGGCCCAGATCAGAAGCTGAAGGCACTAGAGCATGCCTCCCTGCTTGGTTGAAGTAGACAGCTTGGTCCAAGACTAGCTCACCCACCCTGCAAGGGGGGAGGTTTACAGTGGAGGTGCAAAGCATCCTGGGATGTTGGGGGACTATGAGTTAACTTGAATCTGGAGTGGATCTGGGACAGAAGTTGAATAAACTGATTTAACCTAAATCAGTTAAGTCTGATATTACATTCATCCAGGTTCGTCTTATACTGGTTTTGGCCATTTTGAAAGCAGTTTATGTACCCTGAACTAGTGTTGTGTTACAAATTTGAGCAGGTTTTCAATTACTTACACCGGTTTATGTGTAATTTCTATCCCTAGCCTAGGTGGTTAGGTCCAATACCTCAAAGAATATTTATTTATGTCCTAAGTGCAAGTGATTATGACTCTGACTTATATCATTAAAAACAACACAAAACAAAGCTCTTCTGTGGCTCTGGGAGTTATTTTACCATTTCAGAGAAAAAGCTGACTCCATTTTCCTGAAACACAAGGACACGCCTCAATAAAAACAACAGGCTGTTTGACATTATTTAATATGTGAGATATGACATAACTGAAGATAGCCTGACCAAAAGCTTTAGTCCTGTACTTTAAAAGTTTTAGATTAAATGTTATTAACATCCACTATTGTGTGGAATGATGTTAAGCAATAAAAATGTGAAAGACAGATAGTGTTGGGTTTGCACTTGGTACCTACAAACAGTTCCTCCTGGGGATTTGAGAGAGAAGTTCCATAGACGGCTTTAACTTAAATCAGTTAAGTCTGATACTAAATCCAAACCGGCTCATCTTAAACTGGTTTCAGACATTTTGAAAGTAGTTTATGTGCACTGAACTTCTGTTTTGTTACAGGTTTGAACTGGTTTATGATCACTTATATCAGTTTGTGTGTAATTTCTGTCCCTAGCCGTAAAGCTAAGGAATGGTCTTTATTCCTTCTGCATAACTAAGCACAGAAGGAATGCTGTGGAGATAAGTAAGGGTAAGGCAGAGGAAAAAAGGAAGAGGATGTTTGAGGATTTAACCTGCATCTTCAATGTTATTTCTACTGTGGGACTTCCTTGAGTCTAGTCATCTCCAACCCACACTATCACATTTTCTCAAATACCACATGCAACTTTTCTCTCCAAAATGGGATGTGTCAGAATCAGGAAAGCTGATTTTTCTCTGCTGGAAAAGCAGCAAGCCTGAAAACTGTGTGCATGCCATGAGCTACTGAATGGCTGCCACTTGTGTCTGACTCAGCAAGCAGGAAGGGCAGAGTCCTGTGTTAGCCCTCTCTCAGACATGGCTGTTGGCTGACCACAATAGCTAGTGCCTGAAGCAGCAAATGAGCTGCTGGTAGTATCTTGATAAGGTTTGTGATATGGAAAAAAACTTTATTTACTGGAACCTATATAAAGAACTACTTACAATAAAGAAGCACAAGTCTTGCAACTCCCCTTGCAAGGATCTGGGGTTTAACCTTGTTTGACATCCACTATGTCCTCCTGCAAAAATAGAATCTCCCGGAAGTGTGCCTGACAGCATCTGACTCCAGTTGTTTGTGCTAGAGTGTATTGCATTGCCTTAATGGCACATGTAGATGCACTCACTATGTCACATGACTGGAAAAATCTTTTTGTCCATCTGCTTTCAAAAAACAAGGTGCGTGTTTTATTTGGAGGCATGTGGTATGCAAGAAAATATGGGATTAATCCCTGTTAGTCTTCCCCCCAAAATGTCCTCCACTATGCTCAGCAAATTTACCCTAAGAAGTCTCTGTATTATCTACCACACATCTGCACAACATTCTGTACTGTATGCTCAGTCAGTTCCTAATTTTCCCCATAAAAGTGCACTATAATTATCTCATTTCTTTTGAATTTTGCATGTATTTAGCTTTCTTCTTACCCTCCATTACCACAGACACAACTGCTGATCAGATTTGTTTGCTTTCTCTCCCACTATTCTGATTTTCCTGCAAAGAAAACTCAGCACTCCATTGCTCATGTGTTGTGCTTCTGTTCTGGGTCAGGACTGTTTAGGTATTTTGGCTCAGAACACCAACTTACTTTTAAGAGAAAAAAATCAGTTATAAACTGGAATATAAGTCTTCATGTCATATTAATGTAATTAGAGAAATTCCTCAGCAGTAAGGAGCATCAATTATCCTGAGTAGGAAGCTTTTTCTAGATTTTGGACAGTTTGAACACTAGCGAAATACTAAATGTCCAGACATCGGTCATTCAATGTAGGTACCATATACTGGATGGTACAAATTGTTTTATAAAGAATATATATGTTATTAATTATACCGTATAGAAAAATTGTCAACATATTCATTAAACATGATAACCCAGGATCAAAATATATCATTATGAAGTTACATACTATCCTGAATAAATTCTGTATCTTCAAAATCTTTTTTTTTGGTCTCATATATTGACCTTGGACAAAATTCCCAAAGTCACACAAGATCAGACCTCTGTACTTCCCATCACTCAAAATCTCTTTGTAAAAAGTTTGCTTGGAGAAAGATTCAGGTAGAAAGACTAAATGCAGACTACAGAACTAATGAATAATGAAATGTGGATTTAAAGCAACTTGAAGATTTCATCTGCAGATTTAGCAATAGAAGCTACTCATAGGGAACTCCAACTGAAAATGTTGTAGAACATAATGGGGATAAGTTATGTGGTTTCAGGAATATTATAGCCTTGAATACACCCAGACAGTGTTTAAAAACTCTATTCTCTACAGCTCTGGTTAGTGAATGGTCAGGGACACGTGGCATGCCATTTATCCAAAACAATGTGGGTAGAGCTACATTGCTGGAACAGCTCACAATAGCTTGTATACCAGCTGGAGCAAGAAAGGATGACAACACCACTTGAAAACATTTGCACACATGGTCTTTTCTAGTCTCCTCTAATGAAAAGACGCATTGTCACAGAGAAATCACCAGCAGCTATTCCATGAACTACTGGAAAATCTGGCGTGGAGATTTCCTATAGGAAGCTATGCATAACATGTCATTGTAGTTACTAAAAAAAAGTTTTATTTCACTATAAAAAGAATCTGCTGGCATGGAGGTGTAATTTAGAAATACTGATTTAACAATTTTGATTGGGCTTTCTACAATTTCATCTTCATTACTGAATAGAAAACCTAAGATCATCTGCCAATAAATATTTTATATATAGAGAGAAATCTTGCAAATCATTTGCATGCAACTTCTGTCCTATAAGTCAATAGTAGTTCAATTGCTAAGATACTGAGCATCCTAAACTCCCAATATATACAACAGAAAGCACCAACTTCTCAGCAACGCTTTCCTGTGTTTTTTTTCAGTTATATTACATTTTCATTTAACACTCACGTAGGGTTCATGATCAAACGACGGAAGAAATAGGTCCAGGTGATATAATCCATTGCATCTTGCTTGGAAGTAATAGTTCCAGCGGCAATTTCAGCATTCAAGTGATCAGAGAGCACTTCCAACAGGCTAAGGGACAAGATATGAAAGGCTTTAGCTCTCTTTGAACTGTTTTTGTTTTCCCTGTAGATTTTCAAAAAGGCTTTAATATTTATAATCTAAAAATGTTATTCTTTTTCTTTAAAAAAAAAAAAAAGAAGAAATTTTCCTGTAATGGCACAGTTATTACCTCTATGTTGCAGCAATCATTTCACACTTGTACATAATACTTAGCTCAAATTCACTTAGTTGACAATTTGACTATGTATGCTGCATTCTTTAGCTTATTGTTGGGAAGGTGAAAGGTTGAAATTGCTATGTAATGATTTATGAATACTTGTGTTGACATGAAGGAGATGCTTACTGTGTGAATATGTTGGTTTATCGTAATGGGGGGCATAAGAAAAAACATACAGAAAACAGGAGAGCAATTCAGGATAAGCCACTTCTCAGCAAATACTTGAGGGTTGTTAATATGATGCACAAGTCTTTAATTTTGAAGATTTTACCTCTTCATATTTCAATAAGAACAATTAGTTTTTCCCAGAAAGAACAAAACCCAGAAATACAGAAGAAAAAAGGAATTTTGGCATTTTAAAGCAAGTTTCTCTCATCACAAAGGGGAGAGTTTATTTGGGATAAACACATGGAGACACAGGAACCTGCTGGGGAACCTGGATATATTAGGCATAGGTATGTTATCATCAGAAAATGGAAGAGTTTAGGCAAGACAGACATACATATTGAGTGCTTATTGCTTGAAAAATCATTTTCTCCTCTTTAAATGCTTGTTCTTAGTGCTAAAATAAACAATGCTTTGCTATTCTATGACTCTGGTACAGACTTCTGAAAGGAAGAACTGCAGGTGTCCAAATTCAGGTCACAGTGGGGAAGTACAGCTGATACACAGGGCATGATAATCCAGTGACAGATCGACAAGGGGAAGAACTGCAAATTCTCAGGGGAGGTAAAAGCATGAGATCTGACACCTGAGCAGTACACCAGGAATGACCAGAAAGACGATAAATGCAGTGTCATGGAAAACCAATTTCTTTTTTAAACATTTACTGAAAAAAATCAAGAGAAACCCAACAAAATGTGAAGAGTATAGACAGTACAGTCAACCCACGCGGTGTCTGGTAGAACAAGGAAACAGTTCCAAAGCAAAGGTCCCTTCAAGAAAAGAACAAGTGAATCTAGTTTCCTCTTTGAGAAATCAGGGAGTCTCTTACTTCAAAAGCCTTTAATGATCATAAAAGAGACCAAACTCTTAAACAGTGTAGGACACTTCTGTTCATATGTTTATATTCAGTAACAGAATATCACGCTGCTAAGAGCACATCATTGGTATCCAAAAAGTTTCAGGAATCTGAGACAATTTATAATACTTCAGATATAAATATTTTAATACTGTCTTTTGTAAATTAAAACAAAGCTTCTATTTTTAGAGATACTACTTAGCAATGTATAGAAAGGTCTCCTGGTTTATTACCAGAACCACAGAGTCTGGATATAATATTTGCATTTTTACCCTGATTTTATTTTTGCTTTGAATTATATCATTCTGAAGAGGTTCCATTTCTTTTTGTTTCCAATTCAATTATATTTTCTAAACAATGAACATGAATATTTAAAAACAAGCATATATATGAAGGTAACCTATGATTAACTAAAGTTTGGATGTAAACCCTGGCTGTTCCTTAAGAAAAAATTGTGCATAGCTGGCTATGCTAGAAGAGACTATACTGGCTACAACTATAACTGGTAACACTGAACAACAAATGATAAACTGCAAAAAGGTTAGCAAGGTTAGCACAATATTTCTTGGTTTTCTTTACTTTTCTTGTCAGAAAACTTACAAGTAGTATTACATCTGTTTACAACAAGATATGTTTCCCTTTGGGGCTGATGTCTCTTCCTGCCTTAAGGGGTCTAGATCAGTAAACAAATCATATGTGAAAAATATTAGAATTGTTTTTTCTGCCAAGCACTCTTGCCCTCAGATTTTCTCTCAGGGTTGCTGGAAGCATGAGCAGTTGTCTTATATAAGAAAACTGTTCTTTCAAAGATATGTTATCATCTCTGAATGTTTTTTAAGATTCGCCCCTACCACAAGATTTCTGATTGCTTTTGCTGTTAGACCAACACGGCTACAACCTAGATCCCTGCTTTTAAGAAGGCACCTAAAAGCAGTATAATATTTGTCAGGGTTATCTAGGAATGGATGAGATAGTTGGAGGAAGACATCTAGACTTGTCTTGATAAAGCAGGTTGTGTGCTCAGGAGAAGAACGGTCTTTAAAGACCCCAATATTTTGGTGCATCTCTGACTCCTCTCACTTTCATCAATCCCACATTTGCAGTGTGTTCTTTAACCTCTCTTTTTAGTCAAATTTTACCTTGATTCTACTGGGAAAGGTTCATAAAGAAACTTTTTGTAGAAGTCTTTCTTAATATCGTGAACTAGAATCACAGCTTTGCCTTGGTCATCAAACTGAGGTCTACCAGCACGTCCCATCATCTGAAGCACATCTGGTAAACAGATAATAAACAGATTTAAGTTCAGTTTATAGTACAGATTTGTACTGTACACCAACTAACTCAAGTATAACCTCAAACCTGACTCTATTACTAAGTGGCCATAGCATATTAGGACAGGGATTCTGTTGTTAAAAAAATAAAAATAAAATAAAATAAAAGGTTGTGATTATGTAATTGAAGACCACAGCACATGCATACGATGGCTATATTAAAGTTTATTTATTTATTAGTTTTTATATTTATATCCTTGTAGCGGAAACTGTAAATCTAGCACTTTCTAACTTTCACTCGCTTGATTTTGTAATCTAAGTAATGCCTTTTCCTAGATTTCCTAAATAATTGCCTCTTCCTATGCAATTTCCTAGGAATCTGTTTTAAGCTACAAGCAAATTCTATTATATATTATGTCTTCTAACATTTGAATTAAGGAGAAATTATATTAGCTGGCAGATATAAAAGACTTATTTCAGAATGGGTGATGAGCTTTGGATGCCATGAGCTCCCCATCATCATATTATAACATGGTACAATAAACTGAAAGAAAAAAGTCTTAAATTCCTCCTAAAAACTTACCACTACAGTAATGCCCCTGTTGCTGGCACTAGTTGGCCAGTTATGACTATTATGAACACTAAGAATACTATTTTATATAAGCAAGCCCTTTTTATTACTGCTTGGATTCTCCCCACATCCAAATGGAAGCATCCAAGCAGACTATGGATGTCTGCTTAACTAACTGTGTATATCTTGTCATAATATGAACTTGTAAATTCAGAGGAGCAAGTACAGATTTTGTTTTCCCAAGTTTCCTGCTATGCCATGCCCCAGAAGCATTCTAAACCCTGCTTGGGGTCTTCAGCAGCTACCTCGACATGAGTAAATAATATAAATGAAACCACTGATGTTTTATAAGTGTTTTAAAAACATGCATTAATTTTAACATCTTATATATTCTTTCCTGTGTTCTCTATGATCTATATAAACCATATTCTTTATACAAGCTCATTTTTTATTAAATTAAGAATGACTTTCAACTATAAATGAAGCTGGTCCCTGAACAGTATTTATGAATAGGTGTATACAAGAGAACAAGGGAACCATTTCCTGTTATTTGAGCTCAGTGCATTAAAACAGAATGCAATGACATGTATGAAATGGATTTACCAAAAGTCATCAGGAAATGATTTTTATCAATAACCACTGTCTAGCAATACAAAAGCAACATTTTCATTACTTGCTGTATGTTGCCTGTAGCTGGCTGTTAACTACTGGATTAGTCTTGAAATGTCAAATGCAATACAACTGGCCAAGTAAATGTCTTATAACTAAGATGGGTCCAGCTTAAAACCTCTGATTTTCACTCTCTACATTTGCTTAAGTTTAGATGTGAATTTTGTTTTATTTTCAAACTACTGAACAATCTGTGAGTAATTCACTGTCCATTATCTGCCCCCAACTGCATATAGGTAACCAAATTCATTCAGGGTGCATGCAAGCATTTGTTTATGATCATGGAGTTTACTTTAAATCACATGATCATAGACCGGGAGTGGCATGTACAGCTGTTTGCTGGTGCTAGGAGTCATGTAGAGAACTTGGAGTCACTGTAACTTGGAGTGGGGGGAGAGGGAAACAGCATTAGGAGGGGCTACCTGATTGGCAAGGGGTCTGGTGGGTCTGTGAGGGGGGTTTCCTCTGGGGATTAGGGGGTGGGCTAAAAATATCCTGGTCAAGGTTGGGGATGTAGAAAGTTGAGCTTTGGATGTCATGAGCTTTGGATGCCTTGAGTCCTGTGGCTGGTACAAAATGCTGGGCTTTCCTAGCCCCAGGGATGCACTCTGAACATGTGCAGACATTTGGAAGATCGGGTTAACCCACTGCCTATTTATCTTAGTAACTTCACTTGACTAGGTGAACTAACTTAGATTCGGATCCCACCATTTTTACCTTGATTTAATGCCCCCTGTCTGCACAGATGGGTATTTAGATTGATCTAAGCCTAGTTAGGTTAATCTAAATGTAACATCTGTACATACCCTCTGGTAACTGCAATGGAGAATAATCAGAGTATTGGAGATTAGAAGAGACAGTGAAGTAGAGATGCATGAAAATTTAAGAGCATCACAACAAACTGCTTATCTGTAGGGCCTCTTTCTTCACAGCCTCCAGAGACATTAACATTTTATAGAAATTTAAAAATGATGTTACTCTAAGCAAAAACACAACGTGATTAAATAATTTAGATCTTTTTTAAAATAACCTTTCCCCTAATACTTTCACTTACATCTTCTGTTAAGTTTTAAATATCAAAATTAAACTGGGCACAAGGTTATATATATCTCTCAAAAATTCTCACTGAAGATGCAACAGACTTTACAAAATTTCCAAGCAATACCTTTAAGTGAAAAACAAGTCCATAAAAACAACATAACTGGGCAATATATTGATCTCACAATCCTTTTTTCAATTTTCAATTTATTTATTTTAATAAGTCTTTTTTAACTTCCAGCTCTGCAGATTCATTGTGGGATCTGAATGTAAAACCATATTCCTTCCTCCCTAATATCTACCACCAGAAATAAAGTTATCTAATTTAAGAGGATCAGATACAATCTTCTCCAGAGATTGTTAGTATTATGTTTTCATCAGACAAAGAATGACACAAAGTACTCTCAAAAGTGCAGATCATGCTGCTGTAGTATGCCCCCCGGTCATACTAGAATTCAGGACCAAGAGCTTTGGCTTGTAAATCAATTTTAAGTTTCCTGCATGGAATGCAGGACAACAGACATTAAATTAAGCTCTATGGTAGACTAGTTGGAGTGATGTCCCCTATAATATTTTGAGTTCCAACTTTTTCAGTGAGTAAAAGTTTTTCTATGGAAGGGACTCTGCTTGGTTAAAGTCATGAATCTCTTATGTTACAAATAAGATTTATATTATTCCTAGGAATATGGTGTTTCTGGCCCAGTTTCAGATAGTTTCAAATCAAATTTACTTTCTCTGCTAAAACTGAGAAACAGAAAACAGAACAGGAAACTGGAATAAATTTAACTTGTCCTCCAAGCTTATTACCATTCAGATAAATATTCACCTTTGTCTGACATTTTTAGAAGTCCTTCCTTTTTTAATTTTTAAAAGTTTTATTAAAAGGCTGCAAAATGGTTATCACAATTTTGATAGGTTGGAGGCAGAAGCAGAATTAGAAGTGAAATTTTTACATTAATACTGAAACTAAAATATATAATTTAACTGTTTATTTTAATTGCTTTTTACTTCACTCAACTTGGCCAAAGATAGCATATTAGTTTTATTTTAACTTGTATTCAAGTTTAATCATTTAAATTTCAGATTCTCCTGAACTAACACAGTACAACGTTTGGATTGCAAACACAGCAGAGGCACATATAGGTATCTAAAATCGTGTTTCTAGTGCTGGAAAGAACATACTGAAAACAATTAGTTTTTCATATGTTTCTATAAAATGTTATTTTTATATACATTAAAAAGTTTGCCAAATATGACTCTACATTATCCCACAAATATTCACTGTGCATGTTCAAACCATTTATTTTCCTCTTTTTAAAATGCCTATTTTGAATAATTTTAACAGTAGTTTTTCTAGAGAAAGGTATCCAAAAAGGAAGGCAGGTGGACCCCAAAAACACAGAATTGAGCAGTATTCTTATAATTTACATTTAAAACACTGGGGGGAGGGGAGAGAGCAAAAGGGGGGTGGAAACCAGTAACAAACCTATTCCAACCTTTAATATTATTAAAATTTAAAAGGCTCAGTTTCTAAAAGTAGAAGGTAAACAAAGTTCACATTTTCATATGCTTTAAATGCATCTTGGTAATTATAAATAATATTTTTGTGAATACCTGTAATGGGATAATCCACATAACGCCTTGTTTTTCCATCATAATATTCTGTTCCTTTAACAATTACTAAATGAGCTGGAAAATTTACACCCCAGGCTAATGTGCTTGTGGCAATAAGAACCTAAAACAGAAAGCCAGATTAATGAGGTATATGTAACAAACAGATAACTTTTAAAACTGCATGTAAAACTCATTATTGTCTTATTAAAAAATAAATAAATGTACCTGGATCTTGCAATTCACAAATAATTCTTCTACAGTTTTTCTGTCTCTTTCATGTAGCCCAGCATGATGCATGCCTATTCCAAAGGCAAGAGTCAGTTTCAGATTAGAATCTCTTACTGTGGCTATAACGTCATTCATCTGTAACAGAGAGAATGGTTACATAATTTAGAACAGTTGTTCTAAGAAGTTTTTAACATTCAAAGGTTGTTGTTATTAATGATTATCTTTGTTCCAGTAGCAATCACGATGTGTTAGGCACTGTCTGTATACATAAAGGAAGATGTAGTCTGGTCCCGGTTTGCGGTCAGATTACAGTCTAAAAAAACCCAACAACATACAAAGGATGGAGAGAGAAGTAGTAGTAAATGAATGTATAGATGTCTATATGCCTAATATATATGTATTGTTTAATTTTAAAAACAGAATTAAAAAATAGTAAACTCAGGAGTATTCTGGCCTAGCATACTCTGAATGCTGAAAGCCTCCTGATTATCAGGTGAAGTCTATTTTCAAGTAGCAAAATTGTCCATACATATTTTGCTATGGAACTCAATTTGAACAACTGTATTTTCTCAAATATACTATTCCATGGAATATAGTACACACAGTTTTTGAAAGGCAGCATCAAGAAAAAAGTAGTTTCCTTGTAGTAAGTAACAGAGTAGCAGTAGCTCGGAGAGTAGCCGACTTTATTGTTCTGCTCCCTGTGAGTCCCTGCAGATATTTTCTGTTTCAGCTGGTAAGCAGGACAACCTGCTTTTACCATATTTCATGCACACTCTGATTTCTATCAGCTGTGCTTTGGCAAAAAAAAAAGGTGAGATAAGAAAATACTTTTTCAAGTGCAATTTTGAGGTATCCTCTAACAAATCTAGAGTAAGTGTTTGCAAGCATATTACATTTATTATACTCCCTTCATCAAAGAATTTGGTAATTTTAGCAAAAAAGAAACAGTGAGGTTTTTTTTCATAGTCTGCTTATCTTATACAAATTCATGGTACCCACTGGTTAGAGTTATATTACCCTTTAAAGCTGAATGTGAATCCCTGGTGAATCACAGTTACGTTAAAGTCTAAATTTACCCAATGATTTCACTCACTACGCCTGCATTTAGTTGCTTGCTAACCCGAACAAGGCCTTCAGGCAAACAACTTCACAATTTTTCCTGGAATATTTGTTCCACTATTTTATGGCTAATGTATTTTTAAGGATGTTTTAATAAAATTATACCCAGTAGCTTTTAAACCATAATCAGGAAACTGAATATCTCCATTTTTTTTAATAGTATTTAGCCATAAAACTTTTGATAAATGAAGATCTGTTACTTATATTATCTTCATTTATACAAAGCCTTTTAAGATGTACAATTTTTGATGTTTAGAACATTATATCATTTTGAAAACTCTTTTCTGGGCTTTACAATTACATTTTTAATAGAAACAGTCCTTTTGGTAGCAAATATAAAAGCACTGCATAGTTACTCATGCCCTTTGTCCTTATGAATATGATAGAAAACATATCACTACCTTTTTTTTAAGCTACAAAGAAATCTGAAAATAAAAGAAATAAAAGTACAACAGAAATGGTACTCTGTTTAAATACATGCACAGGAACTCAAACACATGCATGCACAGACACGTGTATGCACACGCGTGTGTACGTACACACACATGCGTGTGTACGTACACACACACGTATACACATGCGTGTGTACGTACACACACACATGTATACACATGCGTGTGTACGTACACACACACATGTATACACATGCGTGTGTACGTACACACACATGTATACACATGCGTGTGTACATACACACACACATGTATACACATGCGTGTGTACATACACACACACACACACACACACACACACACACACTTATTTAATATAGACAATCTAGCCTGGAAAGCACAGCAAAACTTAAAAGCATTTAAAATAATTAAATATTATTTACTTTAATAGTACAAAATTTGATGGATGTGCAAGAACTTAAATGGTTTACTAAACTAGTAAACAATTAAAGTTTTGATTGACATCTATCAGTTTGTGCTAGCTTACAGACTTCATCATAACCAGAAGATATGTTGCTTCCTGCATGCTTCTGATAATAAAATATATTTGAGGGACACATTGATAGTTATTCTGTAAACTAAAGGATTGAATACAAAGGAATAGACAGCTTCCTGAAGGAAGAGTGGATGGAAATGTAAAACACTGTAAAGTAAGGAGGGGAATAAGTTTAAACAGGAAACAAGTAATGCATCAAAGGAAATACTGTATTTAGAGAAAGGGAAAAGAAAAGAGGAATGTAAAAAACTGGAGAGGCTATGTTAAAGAACAAAACTTATCTATACAGATATGTATAGCAAATCTTTGTTTTGCAAATCATTGTATATAACTACAGTGTGGAAAACATGAGTTTTACTGAATTTCTCATCTCACGAATTTTATTCACCATTCAAATGATAATTAAATAAAATTAAAATATTACTCTTTTGTTTTCTGTAAGTAGAGGAACTCTGTTCACTTTTATGGTCTTAATTATAATCCCTTATGACTATGCACTGGTGTTGCCTGAGGCTTTTTAAAGTTGTATCTGGGCAAACACATTGGAAAATACTGGTTTTATGTATGTGCTTAGTGGGCAGTGAGTTAAGCTAAAAGATTACATGATAGTCAAACAATGACTATGGATTAATTCTTACTTTATTAAACAGGACTGCTAGGTACCAAATAGCAACACATGAAAATCCATATGTTCACAATTTTATTCTGTCCAGTACATCCTAAGTAGCAAAATGTATTGTCCAGCTGAGTTTATTTTTCTCTTCAAGGCATAATAATTTATGATAGCCATGAATTTTGGACTAAATTATTTTCTTACGTGACATTAATTCCATCAGTAGGACCAACGTTCCTGTCTAAGGAAATACTAAGCCTGAACCCCTTCTTCTTCTATAAAAGAATAATGATTACATTGGCTGATTATAATATTGATAGCCAATTAGAAGGTAAAATAAACCATTTCACAACATTACTTATTTTCATCTGAGAACCTGTGCTATTACTTTTAGTTGTGCAGTTCCCAGAACAAAATATTCCAAATTCACACTGCTTGGAATTTGTTCAATGATGCTCTTCTTTCTTTTACAATCAGCGGTGCTTATTTTTTTCCTTCCTCCAACTACTATTACAGCGGTGGCCTGTGGTGCTGTTAGTCATATCTGCAAAGCAGTGTAATTTACCACAGGAAAACTAAAGAACCCTAAGCAGGAGAGCTGGCGCATATACTACTATCCTGTCATTCTACCAGCAGGGAATCCTAGTCATTTCTAGCTGACCCCCTCACTTGCACATAAATCAATGCAATAAACAAAACTATTTTACCCATAGGCACAATCCAGAGCTTAAAATTCTCATGACAATTTATTTTAAAGTATAACTTCTTTTCATGCCAATTTATTGCATGAATATTAAATTATGTGTTTCTATTAAGAAACAGGGTTTTTTCCTATTAGAAAACAGACACCAACTCTATGACTCCCAATACATTAAATATGTATTAATATTAAATTGTTAAAATTGATAATTTGAACTAGAGTTCATATCCTTAAAGTTTAAAACAGTAATATAATTTCTATTAATTTTCATATAGAAAAAAGAACACTCTAAATATAGTACAGCATGATAACAGGGAAATATAAATTACCAATATTACATTATTTTTTAGCTGATTATCTAAAACTTTTCCCAATTAATTCAATGGCATTTTTATTTTTGGATTCTCACTGACACCCAAACTGGGCTCATGCTGAGTAACTTGGGCTAACTTTCATAGATTTTGGATTCAAGACCATAAAAACCTCCCATATTTACTGGCAACATTAGTTTGATTAGTATCTCATCTTTTAATAACTATATTTTGCTGCTGAACAGGAGTCTATCATCATTGAAAAATATTTCTTACAAAAAAATTAAGAAAAAGTGTATTTGTCATTTATACCATAATCTCTTAACAAGCTAGATTTTTCTCAAACTAGTAAGTAGTCATTTTCTTTGTTCCTGCACATATGTAAACTGTTGAACCATTTACTTTAAGCTAATCAAACTTTTTTATATTTTAAATTTATTATACTTAAAAAGCTTTTGTAGAAAGATAGGATTCCATTTAAGTAGATACATTACCCTGTGCCTGAAATACATTCCAGTCAGAGTATAATTCAGCAAGTTGATGACAATGCTGGCTCCAAAAGAAAGGAGGAGACCAGATTGGACAAGAATGAGCTAACAGATTGTGCAGCCCAATTCTGTCCCTTTGAGTGTGATATATTGTTTCAAGATGCTAAAAACCCATACTTTCTCAAAGCATATCTGTTGTGCTGGTTTTCCCATTTTCACAGAATCCTCATTATTAGTACTCTGTACTCTTTTCAAAGCACGTCAGACTCAGACCATATGCCACCGAATAATGCTTATCAATTGTCTAAAATGCCCAATAAAAGAAAGATGTGCCAAACAAAAGAATCGTGGAAGTTATGAAGTCTTTTACAAAAATAATTACATATTTCACATCTGCTACAGATGTTAAGTGAAATAAAAACATCTCCTTGTTATAACTAAATGTTTATTTTTTATGATACACTTTTGTATCATAAAAACAACATCTTGTAGAAGGAAGTTAAACTTGAATAATAAAAGATACATTTCAAAATCATTCTTGTGTACCTCAATAATTGCTGAAGGCACAGAATCAAGTTATCTTATTATTTTAACTAAATGGCAGTGTATATTCATTTTCCATACTTTTGTTACCTCAAGCATAAAGCTTCAAAGCACCACAGGCAAGATTATTCATAACAGTATTTATAAGAATAGTAGTTTACATAAATATGAGGCAAGTTTTTTTGAGTGATATCTTTTCTTGGACCAGCTGTACACTTGGGATAAACTTAGCCAAGCTTTTGAATGCACAGCTTTCTTCTTTAGGTTTGAAGTGGAAAACATCCAGAAGAAGAATGCTTTGCATTTAAAAACTTGGCTAACTTTTTCCAACTACACAATTGGTCCAATAATAGATATCACTCAAAAAAATCCTTGTCTCGCAAAATTCCTAGACCATAACTGATACATCA